TAGGACAACACACTTACACTGACCATGAATAGATGAAGTTGTTAAAGTCCTTTCACAAATTATGCCTTATTATTTATTCTAGGAAACTTCCTGCTGAACTGAAGGTTTTTTGTAGTTATAAAATATCTAGGCTAAAAGTAAAGGATGCACAAGGATTGCTTTATAATTCTTTTGAAAAAGAGCTAAATAGCAACTCAAACATGTGCATTAAGGACTTGAGCCTTGTTCTCTTCAAATCAATAGGCATATTGTACTCAATTTTTATGGAAGCAGGACATATATGAATCCAGTAATCCATGAGCTCACTCTCTTACCTCACTGTTTTGGCAGAAGCAGATGACTGTAGGTCATATTTGCATATTTTTATGGAAGCTATAGAGGGGTATAAGCAAATCTGCTTTCACTGAAAAAGGACAACTTGTGCAACTGCATATTTACTAACATTAATCAATATGCATAGAAAGGAGAGAAAGAGGAAATGACAAAGAAATCAACCCAGCAATTAAAGATTATCGTCCTCTTTATAATCAACACAAAGGACTGGTGATCACCCTTACCATTTTCTTTACAAGTTATTACTTTAAAATCCCTCCCTTTAAACCTATTATATAAACCCTTCAATATTTCATTTTGGAATAAGACAGAGAAAATTAGTGTGTTTAGAAGAAAATAGCATTGGTGATTTTCAGCACTATGCATAAGGGCAGGCTAAGGCTGTTTGTGTTGAAATGTGAGATCAGAGCTCACACATGAAACACTGCTGGCTTGACCCTGAACACAGGCAAAGTGCTAAAGTGCTGACCCCAACAGGCTTGGCTTTGCACCTGAAATCTTAAAAAACAGAAGCAACAAAAATCCTTGAACTTTTCTTTAATAGTAGCTCAGATTGCTGCTTTTAGAGGAGACACTTTTATTTTTTTCCCTCCCTCCTTTCCAATTAGATCGCTGCTTTTAGCCCAGCAGAGAATAAATGTGGAGGGCAGATCTACAGTAAACACAGAAGCCACAAAGAATTTTTTTTATTTTTTTTTTCCCATCTACTGCAAGGCTCTGGAAGCCCCTAGTACTGTAAAGTCATCATATTGGCTTCACACCTTCTGTCTGGTTGTGAGTACATTAAACATTGCTGAAGAAAATGAACACAGCTTGACAACAAGATGATTCCTAGATGCTGGAAGAATTCCCTTAAGGGCTGCTGGAAGCGCACAAGGCTTGGAGCATCCTGAGGATGTGGAGTGATACAGAAGTGTGCTGTTAAACCATGTTTGTACCCTTATTTTCTCCTGAGTTAAAAGAAGTGCAGAGTGCTGGGTTAGATTCCTCGATAGCAAGAAGGAACTGTGCTAGTTTCTATTAATGCATAAGGTCCACTCTGAAAAACCAAGCAGGAAGTCCTACTCTTGAAAAGAGTTTCTACTCTGCTCTGTTGACATCAAAGGCTGCTCTATCCATTTAATTTTCTCCTATCGTTTGCAAGAGTCCTTCTCTGTTCCCCACGCATTGAGTGTTTTTAATGTAAACATGCCCTGGCAATATTATGCTTAAATAAGTAAGAGACAAGTCAGGATATCTAAACAGTATTGATATTGCATATTTAATTCAAAAGCTTGCATGTGCTTTTAAAAGTTTCTCTTCGTACCTGCACGCCTTACTGGTAAGAGCTGTGTTGCAGTTGGATTGCACATCATTATCTAGTGCTGACTAAATATTGATGTGTTATAGCAGTTTATTTTTAAGCTGTTTGGGATGAATCCCCAGCCAGTGTAAATTGGCCCACATTTAAGGCAACAGAGTGAAGCTGATTTATACCAGCTGAGGCTGTGTCTTTATGCCCTGCTAAAAGCTCAAACTATCCCAAAATTAGTCAAGAACAGGGCAAGAATTATGAACCCAGGCAATACTTTTTTCTAGTTTTAACAGAAAAAAAATAATACAGTGATATCATTTCAAGACTAAACCAAAGATTCTAGTAGTTTTTAAAATGTATACAAATCTCTCATAGCTAGTATTTAGACTAAGAGGTAGATGTCATATTCTAGGAACAGTATAGTGTGGAATGATGCTAATGGCAGTTTCTAAATACATGTATTTGCCTGTTACACAGGACACAAAGGAGGGTTATAGCAATGGCAACCACAAGAAGGCTTACAATATTCTTTTCTTCATTTGATATTCTATGTTATCTCTCTTTCAGTGCATTTCTTCTGGAAGGGTATGATGGAAAAGTGTCAAGAAGCAAAAAGCTCTGTAATACAAAACTTCATGTTTACAAAATGTTAGCTTTGTAATTAAAGGCATCCTCTGTACTTTAATGGAAGCATTTTGTACTTACAATTTAACATTACCTGGGGTTACTGGGAAAGTAGTGGAAATTCCAGGTGAGGTGATTCAGCAAAATAGGGGTCAGAAGAATGCAGCTCTCTCTCTCTTTCTCTCTCTCTTTCTCTGTTGTTCATGCTAAAAATACCAGGGCATATGGCAGCATATTTCAGCATCTTAACATACTAGGTTCCCTTGAGGACAGAAAAAAAGAGGAAACTTGTGCTGTTGAGCCAGAAATAAGATTACAGAACAGTGTTGCCAGACAGAGTGCTGGCAGCCAAGCCATTAGCGGAGTCAGTGTCTTACTTTGCCTAAAGGTGTTTCAGTGATATTTAATGAGCCTCCAAGAAATGGAAAGCAAAGCTAGTGAGAATGAGGACTGGTATGAGCATTTTTATAAATTAGTTGTCATTGCAAGTAGAGGAATTACACATATTGCATTAGGATATCCACTGCTTGTATATGTACCTTCCACTTCTTCCTTGTGACTGTTAGGGGTCACCCCCTGCCTGAAATAATCAAAATGCATATTATAATTACACGGTTTTCCAATATCCATACACAGCAAGTACAAGATACTTACATGTAAGTACACTGTATTTACCTATATTTTTGCATAGTTTTTAGTGTGTACTTTGTGCCACTTAATAAAAAGCATTACTCGTTATTTTTTGCTGTTGTTTGTTTTTCTCCATTAGACAGCTTATTAAATTAAAGTTGAAGTAGCTGGGATTTTTGGTATGTTCATCACAGATTACCAGTTCCTAGGAGTGTAGAGAATAGACATTTGGAGGAGTCTGGGTAAGCGGTGGGGGAAGCTGCAGTGTGAACATGAAGTTTTAAATCACCTCCTTCATTAAGAAATGCAACATCAGATTTACGGTGCTAATTTAACAAACTTACCTTTAATTTGAACGGAATTGTAAAGGTAAGAACTCCATTTTCCTTTTGGTAACACTTTACAATAAGTGGCACTAAATTACACTATAACTGCTATGTTACAGGGAATTACATGTAACTACACTGTAACTGTTGAAATAGCTACTGTACATGTGCGTACATGGTAACTTCAGTGCTGTTACAATCATGAATTACATAATTACAGATGATTCTGTCCTTTCTTTTCATTGGAATAGTTGTATATATATATATATATATATTATACTGCAATGAAAATACACAAGATGTTAACTTTCATGTCTTACTTAGAAAAGTTGGTTTTCTTCATGTATTCCTTTACAGAGGGAGTCTCAGTGCAAGACGAACCGTCCTTAAGTAAATGTGGAAACTTTTTGAAGTGTTCTAGCTTAAACTCTGAGCCTCAAGTTAAACATCAGGTTCCTTAAACTGTCTCTTGGTTTGTCAGATGACACTAAAAGAGTGGGATGATGCACCCCTTGTCTTCTGATGCACCGCTTTCTTGATCAAAACATGAGAATGTTCTTGAAGCGTTTAAAAAAAAAAAAATAAAATCTACATCAAAAAGTTTAAAAATAATCAGCAATCGACACTGTAAACAGTACACTGGCAGAAACTAGCTACCTGGTCTTGAGAAAACTACTCTGCAAGTAAAGTGTGGGAGAGGATGTCACCTACATCATAACAAAGGTGGTTCCCATTCGGAGCCTCCGTTTTACACGCTCCATGGGCACCTCACGCCGTAGGAAAAGCAATTTTTCAGAATGGGAACTTGGACAAAGGGAATGGACAACTGGCTTTTGGCCTACTTAATGTGATTGAGTTGAACCATGCTGAGCCATGATTCTGCTTACAGAAAAGAGGGGGATGCCTCTTTACACCTAGTGTGGTAATTTCAACCCGTGAAAACCAGACAGGCCTGCAAAGTGCTACCCAGGTAGAATGCTCTGTGTGGGGTTTCTCACACCTGTGCTGTGCACAGATGCAAGGGACATCACCAGGTGCAAGATAACGGAAGATCAGCTGTGTTAAAAATGAGCACATGTGAGAAGTTTTAATTGAAAGCCAATGAAAAAAAAAAAAAACTATTTTAACAGTACAATTTGTATCAGTACAATTTGTATGTCTTTTTTTTTGCCAAGTTGAAATGCTGTTTCTATGCCACCAGAGAAAATGGTTTGAAATTGTTACCACGAGGCCAATTCTCCTTTGGAAGGTCCTACCCGACCTTGGCAGTGTAATGGTTCAAGTAGCAATCCTGCTATTCCAACAAGCTGGAGTTAGGAAGAATGCAAAAAGTCGTAAACACCACGCAGGTGGGGAATTCCACTCGAGCAAATAAGGCTCTCATCCAGGGAAGCACTTATTTTTTAAGCATATGAATAGTGCCTTATACTCCAATGGAACTTCTCTGATGCCCAAAGCTATGTGCTTAAAAGCTTAGTTGGACTGGGCCCCAGGTCCTGAAATAAAAATTTGTTGTAAGTGGTACTGTACTGTAGCTAATGTAACTTACTGCTGTGACAAGAACCCATATTTTTGGTATTAAACTGAATAACTTCCTTTGCCAGCCTTTCACATGTGTATGTTTCGAAAGACATGAATATCTTGTAAACCTATACTAGTTCTCAATGTGTCTAGTAGCACCTACCTGGTTCTCTCAAACTACCATATTATATTAACATATTATTGCATTTTTCCACAGATGGGTATGGAGTGAACTGTAAAAACAAGCATGCAATCACATCAATGCAGACTTATTTCTTTAAAATGTCATACTGTATATGATTTATTATGTTAACACTCAACCACATCATATTATTTATGTCTGTATATTTTGAAAAAAAGTGCTGCTTTGATTGACGTCACCTTTTTTTCTTAGAAATTAACAAGATAAATGCTTCAACAAAAACAATTAAAATACTCTAATATTGTCCTTAAAAGGTTTATATTCTTCTGATAAATAATCTGACACAGCACCTTTATCTTCCATTTTACCATACTACATGATGTCGTACTTCAAACTCTCCCTTCCCCACACAAAAATAAAATCCCAGGAGAAAGTCCTTTACAGCAGACCATCATGCTTTTATGCTTCACAAAATTACAGCAACCAGAGAGAAATACTCTTTCGACAAAGGTGCAGAAGGTAGGAGCAAAACAAGCTCCAACTAGGCTAACTCACGTTCTCCAGTGTAGAATCGTTCCCAAGAGCTGTTATGGCAACCTTTTCATTTCATTGGAAGAGGAAATAAGCCAATGGGCTTACAGTGTTTTGTTGTCATATTTAAGAGCATGTGATTTTTCAGCTGTCAATTACACAAAAAAATTTCAGAAATAATCCAAACAGAGACTTTCACTGTGGAGCTAAAAGCATGGCAGGAATTCTCTATCATTCACGGTGACATAAGTTTGTACCTCACAAAATGCATAGACAGGAATTTAATATAAAGAATTAGTCCATTTACTGTATACACAAAACATATATCTTTTGTTTTAACACTTCTATTTTTCTTTTTTTTTTCCCTTTTTTTTTTTTTAATTTTTTTTTTTTTTTTTTTTGGCAAACCAACATAGAGAAGCAGCTCTGGAACTGCCAAATTAAAAATTGAGAATTTTAGCAACTCAATAGTATTTTTTAAGGATAGTAATCAAATGTGGTTGTAATTTAAAACCTGAGGCTGTGCACTGGTTGTTAGCTTAAAACTACCTTTCCATATAACATTGTGCTTCCATTGTATAACAAAGAAAAAATTAACAAGAACTAGAAAAGTTTGCTGCTGAACAGTGCTAGGACATACAGACAAAAAAAATACTAACACATGTTATCTACTCAGAATATTGATTTGAGTCATATCTAAAGGGATATAATGGACATTAGAAAATGCTTACTTGTGACTGACAGCTACTGCCAAAAAAAGTTGAATATGTATCAAATAATGTTTAATTGAATTTATTATATGCACTATATACAGATACTAAAATGCCTTGCAGTTGTGTCCCATGAACACTTCAAATTTGAGTAGGCAGGTGAGTTCATGTTTAGCAAATAAATTATAAAAACATAAATTACTCAGAAAATTCTCTAATCTTCGTGATTCCAAAAGCCAGTAAAAGGGTAGGACAAATTGTTTCAAATAAAGCACTATTATCTAACTTTGCAGAATCTGTATAGCTATTCAGCATGTTTTCACCACTGAAACATGGCATTGTTATCAAGGTACCACTTAAATCATAACAAAAAAAAGCAAAACAAAACAAAAAATTCACTGGACTGATCTGTTTTTTCCACCGAATCCAAACATAAAGGAAACTATACTAAACAGATTTCAATCTGTGTTTCCAAGGGCAAATGTTCCAAAAACAAGTTGCTTTTCGAATTATAGATAGACATGTATAAAACATTCTTTGTAAACCTCTAATCTTAGACTTAACATTTTCTGTAAGTAAATTAGGACCTTACCTAATAGCATTCGTTATGAATTTTGTTCTATGACATACTAGTAGGGACATGATAAAAGAAAACCGAAAAAGAAAGCTGCGTAACATTTAAAAATGTAGAAAACTTGGATTAAGATGATGATTAACATTGTTAAGGCTGTATATTCAAGCACTGTATGTTAAGAGAGCAGTGGATATGATTTTTAGGCAATAAGAAATGTCCTGTTTTACGCATGATACTGTAATTATAGAATGATGATGTCAACAGCTGATTGTTGGCATAAACTGGCTACTTATAGCAGGTATGCGAGTTAATAAAGATAGCAGAAGATGGCAGAAAGGAATTCTGAGAAATGATAGCCAGTTTTCTCCAGCAGTCAGCCTGATAAGTAAAACTCCAAGATTCTAGCTCTGCATCTAAATGAAATACTCTTTTTTCTCCTCTGCATTGACTTGGCTGCCTTCTGCATTGATAATGGCTGTGTCGGCATCAGGTGCATCTTCAGCTCCTTTTGCTTCATTTGTTAAATATGTTCCTAGAGAAATCAGTACAACAGGAAAGAAAAAAAAAAGAAGAAAGATTAGGGTTTTCTTTTTAGCTTTATGCTGCGTTATAGGAAGTACATTTCTAACAATGCTCCGATTATTTCATGAATGGACAAATATTTTTACACAGTTTTAGTATGCATCATAAAGGTATGCTCAGCTTTCTCATCTGCCTAAGAAATACTTACACTTTTTATACTGCTAATGCACATACACAAACTCTGTTATATTCACAATATTAAGGAAGTTATATCCACAATAAATTAAGGAAATATTTTAATAAAAATCCACTTTATCTAACTGCAGTAATATGCAATATATTTTGCAGTTCTAGAACAAGTGATAAAACTTTGGTTATTTCATGGAGTAATTACCCATCAAAACCAAACTAACTTTGAAGACTTAGATATTCAAAAACGTATTTGGTTTTTTATTTTATTTTAATGGCCACTGATTATTTGTATTTCTGTTCTTTCTTGATCATATCTATGCTTTAATTTTACAGAATTGTATCATAGTAGTTTCCAAGAATTACAAAATTGAGGCAGTTTTATAAACTGAACCATCTCACATTATACTATCACAGCTATTTTTATGCTCTGGATATGAATAAAAAGAATTGTGTACAATAATCAAATTTCCCTTTGTGAAAAGGGAAATTTATGTTGGCATAAGAAGTAAAACTGTTCATTCAGAAAAGTAAAACAAAAGAGACACACTTTCATTGGCTCATTGAAAAAAAAAAATCTTGGTTTTCCCTCAACGGTCCAATCAAATTAAAAAGATGTTTTTATGAGCTTATGTTTGCTAGGCATATGATTATCTAACATGAGGCTTAATGAATTAATACCAACACTCATCCTCTCTTCATTCCTTTTTAAAATTCTTTTGAGGGGAGTGGCATGGAATCAACCTATTTTTAACAACAGGTCTACGAGACACGCAGAGGTAAAATCTCAAGAAATGATTTTGGAATTAACTAGGTCAAAATCAAATCATAGAGAAGTCAGAAATCAGTGTCACCCCATCCCTGCTATCTCTAAGGGCAGAGGGGACTGAAAACGAAAAGAGCAGAATTATTAAGGTGAAATCACTGAATAAAGTAAAGCTTGCCCCAGGAATTAACCCCTTATTCCAGAGGGATCCTTGGTAAACTGATTTGAAAATTTGCCACCGGTCTCTAATATTATCTTTTGAATACACGCTTAAAATATCAATAAAATGTATTAAAAGTCTTGTTCACTTGATATATATATATATATTTTGAGAACTGCTATATAAAACTATGAGATCATGTAGTCAAGTGTCCAGGTTAAGGGCCAAAACCAAGGGGCAATCTTACCTCTTAGTCTCTCTAAATAACTGACTTATAAGATGACGTGTCCTCTGCCTTAGCCACTGGAAAACTGGTCAAAATTCACAGGGGCTGCATTTGCAACTGGACTGTGGACTAAGCTCTTTTATTCAGCCCATTTAGCAGATGGGGAAAGGCGAAAGGGAATGGCACATGAATTCCCACTGAATTCGTGCCACGCTTCCAAAAGTGACGGAACTTCCGCTAAATCCGTCCTACCTTTATGTCTTGCCAGGTATCGACCAAGGAGAATTATAGAACATAGTGTTACAAAGACAACTACAGCCACTATTCCTCCTATAAGAGCGTGGTCAGGTCCGGTCTGTCCAGCCAGAGCGTTTGGATCTAGAGGGAGAAACAAAAAGCAAGAGTGGTCCTACACAGACAAAATATGACGGGAAAATTCAGAATACCAAGATTTATACTGATCATCCTGAAAATAGGGCATTGCCTTCTTTAATATTCAGCATGGTTATTCCCACTTTTACCCCCAGTAACTTATCAACAACACAGTGCTGCTTGTATTCCCAGATTGTTAAAACCCTGAGGACATCACTGTTACAAAAAATATTACCTTATTCTTCTTTTGGCAGAGGTTATTAAATGGGAAAGGTTTCTAGTTTTGTCCTCATCATTTTACAACTGAAAACCTGGCCATAGCTATTTATAGAAGAAAAAACAAGGAACTGAGAATTGGAGATTGGATAGCATCAGCAGAATAGTGTCTGCATAATACATAATTTATAGAATTGATTCTCAGTGGGGAATCCTTATATATTCTTTGCTCTCCATTCCTATCCTATTGCACCAGAAATAAAAAGGTAGATAAAGTGCAGCCGTGCCAAGTTCCTCTGCACATGGCTGAGTCTGCATGAATTTGGTCAGATAAAGGTATCAGGCAACCTAAAGGATCATCATTCAGTCTCAAGTGTCAGTTTGTGAACTTACTACGACTGCTCGATTAATACCCAATGTGAGTAAGCCTGCAATAGATATAACCATGTATTAGCAGGCTCATTTTACTAACTCTGTTCAGAGCTCTAGGAATACTGTCAGATTCAAGCTTTCTGTGCTGCTCATGAGCCTGTTACATTGCCTGATGCTTCACAAAAGTTGCAAAGAAGCAATCATGGGAAATGGCACTATTTAGTGGAGCTTTTCAACAATGAACCAGCAACCTGTTACTGTTGACACACCAGATATATGCAGAAGAAGGTGAAAATTCAATCTAAGGATCATGGTAAGATTTCTATTATAATGAAAGCGCCTCTGCTATGAAGTAATAGTAATTGTCTGAAGATGCTATTAGCATGTACTGTATGCTGCAATCAGTCCACTCTCACTGCTTCAAGGGCATTTCCCTTGTATGAGCTGTTTATAGCCCACAAATAGTTTGCAAACAACTTCTTTGCTTTGCAAAAGGGAAAGGCAGGAAATATATTTACACAGAAAAGAGGGCGAGTCCGTGAAGATGATTAGAAGGGCCTGTGATACTGCTGGGGCAGTGTGATTCCTTAATAATATAATCACAGTCTGCTGACCATGATCACTGTGCAGCAGCAGAACGTATGGGTACGTCTGATGTGGGAATCTCATGAGGTTTAACAATGCCAAGTGCGAGGTCCAGCACCCGGGTAGGGGCAACCCCCCGGTGTCAACAGAGGCTGGAAGATGAACAGATCAAGAGCAGCCCTTCTGAGAAGGACGTGGGTGTGCCATGTTTGCTGGCAGTCCAGAAAGCCAATTGCATCCTGGGCTGATGCCACAGTGTGGGCAGGAGGTGAGGGAGGGGATTGTGCCCCTCTGCTCTGCTCTGGGGAGATCCCACCTGCAGTGCTGCCTCCAGCTCTGGGGTCCCCTGCACAGGAAGGACATGGACCTGTTGGAGCGACTCCATAGGAGGGCCACCAACATTAATAGAGGCATGGAGCACCTCTCCTATGAGGAAAGGCTGAGAGAATTAGTATTATGCAGCCTGGAGAAGAGAAGGCTTCAGGGTGACATAATTGGGGCCTTCCATTACCTGAAGGGAGCCTATGAGAAAGATGGAGAGGGACTATTTACAAGGGGATGTAATGATATGACAAGGGGAAATGGCTTTAAACTGAGAGATATTAATTTTAAATTAGATATTAGGAAAAAATTCTTTACTGTGAGGGTGGCGAGGCACTGGAAGAGGTTGCCCAGAGAAGCTGAGGATGCCCCATCCTTGAAAGTGTTCAAAGCCAAGATGGATGGGGCTTTATGCAACCTGGTCTAGAGGAAGGTGTCCCTGCCCATGGAGCTAGATGATCTTTAAGGTCCCTTCAGACTCAAGCCATTTCTTTAAGGTCCCTTCCAACTATGATTCCTTCCATTCTATGATCTACAAACATACAAGTGTACATAAATATAATGTTATATAGATTAAATAAAAGAATCATGTTTTCCCCTCCTTTTGTAATCTGTGAGGCATTCTGAAACCACACTTTCAGGTTTGCTGGAGCACAGAGTGGTATGGCCACTGTTACAGACTCAGTTCTGCTCTCCACGGTCACTGGGCTCATCAGACATGACTGTCACTTGTTGCTGGCTTTCTGAGCTCCCACATCATTCTCTTCTGGCTGCCAAGAGGACTTTGGGGAAGCTGATCACATCATGTGGACATGATGGCAAGTGGTAGGTTTAGGGCCTCAAAAAAAGCTACAAACACCTTATAAAGTCAGCTGCGGCTGCTTCCTCTTCCAACTCCACAGAGCTCCCAGCATGGTGCTGCTGTTGGTGGCACTGTGCTGAGCACACATAATCAGTCCAAGGGCACTCAGGCTCTGTTTTGATGATTAAAACTGAACCCCAAGTTCTGTGTACCAGCAGACTAGCAGGGGGAAGCAAGAATGCTGAAGCATTGCCTTGGCATAGCAAGAGCTTGGAGCGTGCAGCCATCCTCTCCTGTGCCTTGCAGGGGCTTTGTTTTCTGAGAGGAGCAAGGAGGAGGTGACTGCTCACTTGACAAGATGAGAGGTGACAGCTTGCTGCAGGAATGTCAGCCTGCTTGAGCCATCTAGAAAATTCCTCCTTTTGTGGTGCCTGTGGCAATGCTGACGTAAACCTGCTCCCTGCAGCACGAAGGCAGCACCCACGCGGGCTCTGAGGAGCAGGTCCTGTGTGCGACCTGCAGGAGATGCTCTTCTACAACGCTGGGTCAGGAGCAGCCAGAACATGTTTTCCCACTAAAAACTAACTGCTCCTGCTGGTATACTGGCAGTAACATTAAAGAACGAAAGGAGATATTTTAAGGGATAATGAACTTCCTGATGTAGATGATAATCCAGACAAGGGTTAGCACAGAACTTCAGAGGCATTTTTTGAAAAGTTGGTTGAAGTGCACAGCCTTACCTTAATACTCTGATTTACAGTGTATGTTCTCTGTGAGCTTTAATAAACATTATAGACAAAAATCTTCACAATACACTGAGATGAGTACTCCTCTCTGTTTTCATCCTATGTATAGTGAGTCACTCTATATAGTGACTCACTCCTCCTCTGACATACTTGATGTGACTACATGAAATGACCTAAAGTCAGCATAAACATAAGGTTTCCACCTAACAGTGTAGATTAATGAGATTCTAATGCTGCTATAGGTTGAAATTTTTAACATTAAAATTAATGTAGGCATTCGTTGGACTGCAAAAGTAGTATTATATATTTTGCTATAATCTCAACCTTGCTATCAAGGCCAAACTATATTGGTTAGCATTGCTAGAGAAGTTTGTCCAGGAAAAAACTTATACATGACCTATTACCAACGTACAATATTATACATATTATAATAATACATATGACCAATGAAGAATTAATTTATTGAAAAGAAAAAAGGAAAGGAAGGAGAGGAAGGGAAAGATGGAGGAGAAGGAAATGAAGATGGTTAAAAGTGGCCAACGTTTTCTCGGGGAACAAGCATTTTTTTGTCTCAAAATGAAAATCTGTACAACATAAACAATATTCTGAACAGGAAGCATACCTCATGAATAGTCTCCTCATTGAAAAATAATGTTAGCATTAAATATAAATATGCTCTACATTATGCATACAGAGTAATGCACTATACTTTTGCCTTTCATGAAGTGACCTAAGCCCCATGAGTGAATTATAGATCTGGGGATATCTATCACTGTATAAATAATTTCTATATCAAAATGTGCCTGAGCAGTATTTGAAAAATAGAAATACAGGGATTTGGAAACTATGCCTTTTTGTATTTTAGGTATCTATACAGCATTATACATAATTATAACCCAGCTGTTTCCATTAAAAAAAAATTAGATTACACTGTTACCGTTTCACATATATACTGTTTTTTCCTGCATGACCACAGACAGCTACAGTAGTCATGGCCTGAAACAGTGAAATTACAATTTTGCAATCAGACTAGGTCTTCTTCAAAGATCAGTTCTTCTGTTTATTTCATCTTTTGATAAGACTAAGAAAAACTTACGGAAAGATAATGACACAGAAGCTCTTAATTCTCTTTTATTTGCTTTTGTTCTAAATTTAGGAAGCCTCTTCAAAGTCCTGATTGCTGATGCTGTGAAGATGTACCCATTTTCAGCTTCTGGGATTTGGCCATTACTGTTTGTTCACAAACAGTGAATACACTTAAACAAAATAACACACATTTAAATTAAATAACATTCTTAAAATGGCTAGGAGTAAAAAAAAATGTATCGTTCACCAGGAAATTAAACACATCAGTCAAATCCTAGACCCATTAAATAAGTAGATATGCGCTTTTATGACCTGCTGACAAAGTTTCAGTGTAGAATATTTTAATATGAATTCACACTTTAGTTAAGCAGAGAAATTTTGGAACAGTTTTTCATGTTTTTGCATAAAGTATATGTTAATTATTCATCTAATTTCAGTTTCTTCATGCATAAGTTTCCTTCTTATTTATGCATAGTTGACTTGACTGAGCAGGCTGCAGGAAAGGGTCAGATAACCCTTTCCTGAGCCAAGGCAGAACAAGCACATTTGTGAATGCTGAAATGGCATATTTTTGGGAATATATGCTCAAGTAGTCCCCTCTACTGCAGAACTTTATCAACATGTATTTTTATCTCACACCTGAATTTTTTAAAAAAAGTCACTCTGAGATGACCTAGGTTTGAGGCATCCAAAATAATAATTTGTTTTGACCATTTCTACTAAAAGAAAAACTGGAAATAAAGGTCCTAATTTGCTGTGAAGTTTAAATAGCATTCATAAAATGAAGAGATATTAAGTATATGTATTATTCATAAATGAGTGTTCCTTAAGGCTGGGAAAAGAACAGGGACGTCCCATTTCTCACAGAAGGACTGAAA